GAGAGAGAGAGAGAGAGAGAGAGAGAGAGAGAGAGAGAGAGAGAGAGAGAGAGAGAGAGAGATCTTGAACGATTGTCAATGAACTGAATAGGACACGTAAAGATATTTATATGATCCAAATCAGGAAGTACATGCCCAAGAAGAAAAGAAAAATCGGAATTGGCAAGGGAAGTGAATCAACATTCCAGTAATTCTGCATTGCGCTGGAGGAATTTTTTGGTTCCGCTGCGAAGCTCTTGCTGATGCTCAGGGATGCGCTGGCATCAGCATATCGATCAATGACTGTGAGCTGAGAGGAAAAAGAAGCGAGGCCTAACTACCATCCTCTCGCCGAATACAACACCCGCTCATTATAGCTGTATTCGGGGGAACTTTCGATCCAGATGCAGCGATAATGACGGAGCATTCTATTCGGCTGAAGACAGTAGTAGGGACTCGGGAGTCTGTAGGCGAGGGCAATTCTCCCGAGGGCAATTTGACAAGTGTTATTGCGATAAGGAGGAGAGGGGGAGCAGAGGGGGATAGTCCGAAAAAATAATGCAGAGGATACGGAGGAAGTGGCTGATTATCATTTGTACGGAAAAGATCATGCCGGTGGACCGGTATATGTGCTACGTGACTTCTTCAAAGTCCAAACCGGGAATTTTGAAATATACCCTTATCGGAAATATTAGAGAATAGATTATCTTGGGTTTGGACTTTGGAGATATGACCCTCTACGGTGAGGTCCCCCTGCGCATTTCCGTTTTCGAAGTACCCTGAACAGTCCGGTGTCGACCCGGCCCTGAATGCCCGACTGCCGTCTCTTACAAAGCCCATGTGGCTGAACGGTACACCCATGAAGTCCCGATAAGTACACCTAAGCTCGAATCCTAATGCAATCAAATGAATAACGTCCGTCTGAATAACTTAGGGCCGATCAGTCCAATGATGATATGTCAACGCTCTCGCCATTCCGGAAAATATAATTTCATATTTTTTTAATCAAAAGAACTGCTGGAATCGCTGTGAAAGCCGTCATCTTGAATCTTGATTAATCAATTCCGGTCCTTGTCTTGATCATTCACCCATCTAAGGCCCTTGTTTGTTCACCGGGGATTGTGCTGCAGGTAGTCAAGTGATGGGAGCGGGGCTGGACTAAACCCAAGAGGGGGTGCGGTGGAGGAGAGGTTTTGACCGAAGGGAGCTGTCTCGTCAGCCCGCACGCTCCCGCGTGCGCACACACACACACATCACACACACGCGCGCACAAACTCACACACACGCGCACACTTACACAGACACACACACTCACACGCACACACACACATTCACACACGCACCTCTCTCTCTCTCTCTCTCTCTCTCTCTTTCGCGCGCGCGCGCGTGCGCACGCGCGCGCGCACGCTCCCGCATAGCGCAGCTCCTGCATGCTCCCGCGCGCGCAACCACACACACACACACACACATCACACACACACTTACACACACACACACACACACACACACACACACACACAATCACACAATCACACTCAACCAATCATTCAGATATGAACGGGTTCGAATGCATGAATTTTGGAGGGATCGAGTATCGATTCAGATAAATTTTGTCGGAGATAGGATTAAAGTACATATGAAGGAGAAGGGTCTTGGAATAGTGGTGGTACCTGAAGTATTTAAGACAGAGAGAGGGATGGCCTTAACCCTCTCTCTCCAAGTGGGCAAGTCTGCTTGGGTCGCGGGAAGTAACTCCCTGATGATGTTGTGGTATACGCCCATAGCGAAACGCGTCGGAGTGATGCGTATTGCACTGAATGTATTATCTAATTTCCTGTTTGTACTGGTATCTGATTGTTCTTTGGTGTGATCTTCCAGTACGTGATACAGTGTGGCCGCTGTGTCGTCTCCCTATAACTCGGAGAACCTGGTAACCTTCTTTGCTTTGTTAGAGGCGTGGTGGCTATGGATTCAGCTTCATCTTCATCTTCGTTGTCATTTCTTCATTTCTTATCGTCGTCATTTCTTCATTTCGTTATCCTCGTCATTTCGGCATTTTTGGCGGCTTTGGGATCGGCATCTTCATATTCATCGTCGGCCTCTTCCTCTCGGCTACTTAGCTGTTGACGTCTTCACCGTCATCGTCTTCATTTCGGCAATATTCATCGCAACAACTTCTTCTTTATCGTCTCTCCGACGACTTCTTTCCCCATATTCACTATCCTCATCGACACTCTCTTCGCTACGTGCGTTTTCTGCATCCAGAACGTTTGCGGCGTCTTCATTTCGACGATCGTCTTTTTCTTTTTGGGTTATCCATTTCGTCGCTTTGTCGTATTTATGTTCGTCATTTGTGTATTCTCCGTTCTTTCTTTTCTTTTCTTTTCTTTTCTTTCCTTTCGACTTCCTTACTTGCATCCCCGACCTCTTCTCAAACTCTTCATTACGTAGTCCTCACCGTTATCATCTTCATTTCGCCAAACTTCATCGCGACCTCTTCTCATCATCCTTTCGTCGCCCCTCTTCCCCATATTCACTGTCCCCATCTTCGTCACTAACTAAGCTATCTGCGTCCGTCTCGCCGTAGATCTACATTTTGAGCGATCTTCGGCTTATTCCTTCCGTTTCTCGTCTTTTCGTCTTCTGGACATCGACGTTATCTCATCATCACTTCCCCACCTCCGATCTCTTCACTATCTGCGCCTTCTTGGTCTTCGTTATCTTCGACTTCGTGATCGACGGTGATTGTATCAGCGCTGAAAGGGGCGTTAGCACTATTGTCTTCTTCAACTGTGCCGTATCCAGCATCGACATCGTGATCGTTGGCAGCTTAAGTTCAACATGAGTATCAGTGTCGGTTGTTAAGCCATTTCCAGCATTATCCTCGTGGCGTACTCACCTGTGATGATTTGAGCACTACGACGGAGGTGGAGATTTAAGAAAATCCGAATCGGGTCATTGTGGTGCGAGTAAGGGTGCAGAGGTGTCGCTCGAGTGAATAGATGGGGAAGTGTAGGGTGGCACAGGTCCCTCGGGAATAAGGTGATTGGGAAGTATCCGTAGCATATATGACGTAAGGCTCTCTGTGGGGAGGGAGGTGAGATCCTATGCTGATCTTGGTCATGAAGGTCAGATGCTACAGTCCCTGTGTGATTTTTACGATCGTGGTGTTCGGATTGGCATATATGAGTAAGAAGCACTGGGATATGCACGGTAATGGTTGGATGATTGAGACGAGCATCGTAGTTGGTCACGAACTGAAGCGGTAGTGAAGAGAGTATGATTACTTGGGAGGTAAGGGAAGGTGAACTGGAAAGGTTGTGGAGTGACTTTGAGAGAGAGTTTAGCGATTTGATACCAATAGTACACATTGCTCTACATGATAATAATCGGGATAGGAAAGCGGAATTGCTAGCGCAGCTAGATAGGGTGTTAGGAAAAGTTTATAGCGTGGGGTGCATCTTGAGAGATAGTAGAAATCGTAGGCTGAGAATCCAGCGAAAGAGGGTGCAGGATGATGCCTAATCAACAAACGGGCATGCCTGTCGGTCAGGCACATTTCGGGGCTTCCCAGATGCCTGTTAATCAAGGGCAGTTCGGTATGTCTCAGCAACCATTGAACGTAGGTGGGGGTGGTGCAACGCAGGGAACGGTTACCTGCTACATATGTGGAAAGACAGACCATTATTCACGTAATTGTTGGCAGACTGCAGGGAGATCGTCGCCGGCGGTCGATCCAGATACCTCGGAAATGAAAGAGTTCTACAGAAGAGCCGTGCAGAAGGAGAAAGAGGAGAATGAAAGGAAGATAAGGGAGGAGATGGATAAAAGAAGGATGGAGGAGCTGAGGAGGAGTGAATCAGAGAAGATCAGAGAGGCGGAGGCCAGGGAAGCGCGTCTGGAATCTACCATAGTCAGGCTGTTGTCGCAGCACAATAGAGGCCAGCTAGCTTTACCGTCTGCTCCAATGAAGAAAAAGTCCCCAAGATCCAAGGCAAGGATGCTACGGGAGATTAGAAGCTACTTGGATGAGTCTGAGGACGATAGTGAAGAGGTAAACGAGGAGGCTGGGAAACTTATTGACGCGATCGAAAAACGGAAGAAGGCTGGGAAAAGGAAACGAGTATATCTTGAAGAGGTGCAGACATCAAAGAAGTTTGCCAAGGCACAGCAAGAGAAAGGAGGGGAGTGTGAGGAAGAGGGTATGACAACTCCAAGAAAGAATCTTGCAACAACTTGTTTTAGTGAAGGGGTGGTGGAGTATGCTCTTGAGGTTCACCGAAGGATGTCGGCAAAGAAAGTGTCCGAACTACGGAAGATATGCGGGAAAGAAGGGATCCCATGTGCAAGAAAGGAGGAGATGATTTGTGAGTTGGTGCGATGCAAGACAAAATTGGCTTATGAAGGCTTCTTCGAGAAGAATCCTACGCCGATAGGAGAAAAGTGAAGTTGGTTGGAGCATCTGAAGTGAGCTTCCGGCAATATGGAGACCCTCGGCACGTGGATGGCGGAGAGGACTGAAAAAATGAGAGATAAGGGTAAATTGGTGCATTCGGAGCTTGAGAATCGGGTAACTAGGCTGTTCTTGTTGCTGGCAGTCCAAGGCAGGTTCCCTTGGATGCAGAAGTGGTTAACGATTCTTAATGATATGGCGATAGAGAGGATTGATACCTGAGATTCGGGTGTGTATGTCATCGCAAGCCCATCGTGTAAACATATCTACATCGGGTGCACGGTGAAAAGGATAGTGACTAGGTGGGCCGAACACGTTCGGTGTGCGGTGTCTGGTAACTTTGGGAGTGCTCGGAAGTTGCACGTATGGCTGAAGAGGTTTGGATGGGAAAACTATATAATTATTCCTATGATAGCAGGTGTGCAAGATCTTGGGAAGGTAGAATCATATTTGATATCGAGATTCTGCCCAACTTTGAATAGTATAGGGAGAAGAACGGAGGGTACGAAGAAAGGGAAACCGAAAGGGAAGCGGGAAAGAGGGAAAAGGGAGGATCTGCGCCAAGCAGAGCATGGTGATCGTTTTTTTCCTACCTGGGGAGTAGTTTCGGTTCACTAGTGACTTTGCTTGGTGAGATCCAGAGGGAAAAAAACTCCGGCGCTATTACCTCCACTGGGGGTACTCTATGGTGTGATGGGTGGAGGAGGGTCAGATCAAAGGCCGGGGAAACAGAGATAGAAATAGGAGGGAGGATGTATTATCTGAGGAACTGCCGCTTGTTTTTGGAAAAACAGTCTCAGTTCACGATACTAAAGGTAAGAGTGATATCCTCGGCCATGGAAGGGAGAAAGAACTATCTAAGGGAGATCCTAGCGCGACCTTACCGTCTCAAGCAGGCATACAAGATGACTTCGTCTAAGCTGGTTGCGTTATATAGGACAACCTCGTTGTTTGCAGCTAGAAAAACGAGGACAACTCTGAAGATTCAGATCTCTAATGTGTTTAAGAACAAGTGGGGTGTGGATATTCGAAAGAGGCCAATGGTCAAGGTTCCATACTCACCTTCGCTGAGGACCAAGGGCGTGCGGGATGTCACAGTCGATGCGATCGGGCAGATTCCGGATGCAGCAATTCAGAAGTACGTGGTAGGGAGGGTTCGAGTGGTGCTAATGAGGAAGAAGACAATAGCGAATCTGATCCATAACCACCGTAACTGGGTCAGACGTGACACTGCAATTTGTAGCTGTGTTGATTTTGATCTGCCGAGAGTCCAGGGCCATGTGAAGGTGAGGATTGATGATATTCCTCATCTTCCGGTCTTTGTCCGGAGTTCCAAGAACGTGACATTCGGGTTGGATGAGCCCGAACGAATCAAAGAGAGTGTTCTCGATGCCGTGAAGCCTTGGGAGAAGGGAGGTAAGGCAACTCTGAGCTTGGAACTTCTACGCGGGTGCTGGGTGACCAACAGGTCCCTAGTCTGTGGGATGAGTGAAGAACAATGTCCGCATACCTATATTTTCTGGTAAACAAAAAACCATGTGTGCACAAGCATACACAGTATGGATGGCATTGCTTAACTCTATGTGACCGTTTGAACGCTTCGAACGAGCGTTCGCGTTCGAACGTCTGCGTTCAAACGGCTTTGGGCCGCGTTCATACGCATTCAAACGCGTTGTGTGCCACGTCGCGCGAATCTATTGAACGCCTATGAAACCGTGTGAGCGCGCTTAAAGACCCCCGCGCCGATCTCAAACGCGCTCAAAGAGTTTTAAGGCACGCTCGCGCATCAAAGCATCAGTGCGCGCGCGCCATGGGGTTGCGCATAGGCAGGGGATGTCGTGGGGGGTGTTGCGCATAAAAAAAAAGTTGAGTGGTTGGGGGTGATTTTGGGGGGGGTCGGGGGTGCGGGAGGTGGTGACTCTCTCTCTCTCTCTCTTTCTCTCTCTCTCTCTCTCTCTCTCTCTCTCTCTCTCTCTCTCTCCCTCTCTCTCTCTTTCTTTTCTTTCTGTGTGTGTGTGTGTGTGTGTGTGTGTGTGTGTCTGTGTGTGCCCGTGTGTGTGTGTGTTCATGTGTGTGTGTGTGGGCAGGCCTGGGCTGGGCGGGGTGTGTGAGTGTCTTTTTATCTCGTTTTTATGTTTTTCATTTTTTTTAACATATACGAACTTTGAAAAAATACAAACAAAAATATGGGGTCGTAGATCTCCAAAATATCTACAAGACCAGGGTTACCGGCGTTCGGGACGGGCCGAACGCCCGAACCCGAACGCCCGAACGTATGGGACCCCTTGGGGATGCGTTCGGCCGTTCCGGCCGAACGCAGACCCCAA